TGAAGTGGGAAGACATGCTTCTCTTTTTGTAGTGGGGCTGAAGCTCAGGGCATCATGAGTGTTTGGCAGGCACTTTACCACTTGAGTCATGTCCCTGTCATGAAGTAAAATATCTTAGTTAATTTCCAGTCTTGTGTTTCTCTTTTCTATGCCTCTCAGGTATACAGCTTGAACTACAGGCATGAACCACCGTTTCCAGAGCAGGTTCCTGTTTTCATGAAAAAAATTATGTTTACCTTTATCTAACTGATATCTCTTGCACTTTTTAATCTTTTATCCGTTGCCATATTTTTGCTGATGAAAAACTTAAGGCAAGAATCTCCAGACAGAATCTATTTTAGTGTATTTACATTGGAGCCAAACATTCCCCAAGAATTGACCTGCAAAAGGAGGCAGGTACCTGCTGGGCAGCATGGAAATGACCAAGAGGTTGGGTTGACAATGGAGTGGCTGGCCTTGGGCCATGGGCAGAGGCAGGAAGTGAGCACAGGTGTGTCTACCCTGCTTCCTCTCGTCCTAACTCCAGTCTCCGGCCCTGCTTTCCTGGGCTGCATCCAAAGTTAGCGGCCCCAGGAGCCTGAATGAACCCGAGCAAGACCTTGGGGAACCAGATGCCAAGCAGGCCCAGGACAGGCACATAACTGGCTCTGGAAGGAACCCCAAGCTTCAGTGAGTGGCCTTAATGCAACGATGCTGTTCAGCAAATAAGTGAAGGGCACTGCAGTCTCACAGGGACCCTGGATTTCACAGTCCTTGTGAAGAAGATGCCTCCTTGGTCCTCGCTCAGCGTTCCTTCCCCACATCAATATGCACACCACGCACCCACACGCTACTGAGTTAATTGAAGCGGATGGCTAGAGTGCTGAAGATAATTCCATTCTTCACCTTACACAAAACAGGCAGAGGACGTGGAGAGCGGAAGCCCTTCTCCTAAAAAGTTCTCCCGTACTGACTCTCCTGCAATCACTGCAGAACCTCTGACATTCTCCAGGTTGCTTCACAGAGGCCATTTGAGGAAATAAGAAACAACTAATGAGAGTAGAGAAATGCCTGGATCTACTTTTATGTCAATGCGCTTGCCGTGTTAGACATTTCACCCCCAACAACTGGGGGCTGGCGGCACAGGCCCGGAGCCCAGGCTTCTAGAGGGGGAGGACCCCAGAGCCCAGGCTTCCAGTGGAGGGTCCCTGGGGTCCCAGGAGCCCGGGCTTCCTACAGGAGGCCTTCACTTTGCTCCCCATCCTCACTTGAATATGTGTTCCCACCCACTTGCCCCCTCAAATATCTTTGGCTCCTTTATTTTCTACTTCAACACTGCCCCCCTGCCCTCCCCCCCCCCACCCTGGTGTGCATGATGCTCATGAATACTGAATTCTGTGCATTTGCCCTCTTTTGCTTCCTTCCCAGAGTGGTAATATGACAACAACTCTGGAGGCAGATTCTGGATCGACACACACCCCAGGGCCTGTACGCTGTCCTGGGCAGGACGACGGGGCTGGGGTCATCTGCTCTCCTAGCTGAGGGTGGTGGAGGAGTCTCCTGTAGGTTCGGGAGCTCTGGTTAGGGCCCGAGACTCCAGTTGTTCTGGGCTTGGGTCTCCCAGAGTCCTCGCTGTCTCCCACCTCCATCTTCAGACTGCCTGGCCCTGCTGCGCTCCCTCCTTGGCACATGCCCAGGCTGCGTTCTGTGTGTTGCTGTCCTCTACTGGCCCTGGTGACCAAAATCCAGCAGTATCGGCGCACCTCTCCCCAACGCGGCTCTGCCAGCCCACTGCCTGCAATCTGCCAGCTGTTTGCCATGAGGCCTTACCTCCATGCCTCCAGCCGGGCCTACCCAGAGTCAGCAAGGAGCTCTGAAGGGTCCTTCCTGCTAGCCCCAGCCTTACTGCTATCTCCTCTAGAGAGCAGGGACTCGGCCTGCCAGAAAGACCGCTGTCAGGCTCTTGCTCTGTAACCTGCCACATGGAGAATGTGGAGGAGGAATTAATTCATGCTAATGAAAGACATTCTACAAATGTTAATTTTTATTGTTTACTCCCACATCGATATGTTCTCTTTGCTAAAATGGTCACCCTAAGCATGACTATTACATCCTTTTAGAGAATAAAAAGTGAGCTTTTACTCTGAATGCTGAATTTCCTTCCTTTTCAAATTTCCTTCCTTTTCAGTGTGCAAGCCAGTGGCTTTTGCCAGAATCATCTTTACATGTGATCTTATGCTTAATAATAAGAATAGATGTGAAGAAAGCATAAGAAGAACAAACTCATTCTGTACACAGGCTGTCCGATAGCCTGTACAGTATCAAGCTCAATGTGACTTCGGATGTAAAACTATTTTACGGCAACTAAAGTATTCTGATGCAATATTCTTTAAATGTCTTTAGCACCGTTAAAAAGCCACTTTGAGGAAAATTCTCATATGGTCATTACAATTTTTTTCTTTTGTTTTTTGTGACAGTACTGGTGCTTGAACTCAGGACCTGGCCACTGTCCATTAGCTTTAACTTAAGGCTGGCACTCTACCATTTGAGCCATAGCTCCCTTCTGGCCTTTTAGTGTTGAATTAGAGATAAGTCCCATGGACCTTTCTGCCTGGGATGATCCTCAGCTCTCAGTCTCTTGAGTAGCTAGGATTATAGGCGTGAGCCACCAGTGCCACAATTTCTTTTGATATTATGTTGTTCTATGTACGCTCACTCAGAATTCTCCCGAAGGCTCTTGAAGTTTGCATGAACGTTTTGTTTAGTTTATGCTAATGAGGGCACTATATATTTTGATAGGAAAATTACAATTAAGGAAATAGTCTGCTAATCCAAAAGGATGCTTCACTTCTGCCCACAGGTTCCAGTCACTCTGAGTGGAACTCGGCCCCTGTCTGCACTTGGGTTCTGGAAATGATTCCGAGGGAGATTTGTAACTGTGTAGGCCACATGGGGAAGAGTGGGGGTCCATGTGGGGGAGGGCGGGAGCAGGGGGACCTCACGCTCCGGCTCTGAAGGGGGTCCTGTGCAGACCCTCCCGGAACCCAGCTACATGACACCTGCCTACCCGGGAAGGCAGGACTGAGTGGGAGAGTCAGAGAAGCAAGGAGAATCCAGGAGACCCGGGCCCCGGGCTCCACATGCTTCTCTTTGTGGATTCCTTCACCTGCAGCCAGCTCTAGTCTCTGGTGTTCTGTTCTTTAAACTTCTCCTCCCTGCAGTGCCTCACACAGGCGCGGGTGGCTATAGTCAGGGCCTTCTAGACTTTTCTCCTTGCTCCTGGCTGAAGACCAAACCTGTCTTCCTGCCTTTTGGTTCTTTAAACCTGGCAGAGAAGTCTTCTGACCTGGCTCCTTTCAGAGCCCCGATTCTGTGAGAGGCTGATCCAGATGGCCCAGCCTTCTTCTAGACAGCGGTCCTGCCCTGAAGGTGCTATGGAATTTTCTCAGTAGAGCTGAGAACAGCCTTGAGTCTCCAAACAACCGCTCTGGGGCCTGTGGACAGTGGAACACACGCCACACACTGCACAATTCCAGTGGGAGCCGCCGGCCATCACAAGACCGTTCTCTAAATCACTGTGGGGCAGGCTCTGGTACGCCAGCACATTTGGCCATGCATGGAGAAAAATGCACACTCGGAATTGTGCACTGCGCATATCTACCCATGGCCAGTTTACTGCAAGGCTGCTGGAGATGTAAAGTCACCCAGGAGCAGCAACAGGGTATTAGCACAGGAAAGAGGATGAGGCGCACCTTGGTTCTGAATTGCTTAATACAAAGAGGGACGGTGGCAGCTGCAGGCTGTTCACTTTGGTAAGAAGAGTGCCGAGGCTGTGTTTTTGCTCATGTGAGGCCCATGCCATGTGGCTGGCTCTCCCAGTCCTGACCTAGTGAGCTCCCATCTTACCCTTTCAGAAAACTCTCAGTTTAAGCCCAAAAATCTCAGTGCTCATCATTCGAGAGTAAGACACTGACCTAACAATGTAGCTTACTGTCAGTGTGATGGTGGAACTCAGAGAAACGTTCTCATTTTGGATTTTGGTTTATTTTTTGTGCCAGTCCTGGGGCTTGAACTCAGGGTCTGGGCACTGGCACTGAGCTTTTACGCTCAAGGCCAGTGCTCTACCACTTGAGCCACAGCTCTACTTCGGGCTTTGTGCTGGTTCATTGGAGATGAGAGTCTCACGGACTTTCCTGCCTGGGCTGGCTTTGAACTGTAATCCTCAGATCTCAGCCTCCTGAGTAGCTAGGACTGATTTCAGGTGTTAGCCACTGGCACCCAGCTAATTTTGTTTTATGAGGTTTCAGCACACACACACACACACACACACACACACACACACACACGCACGCACACACGCACACACACACACACACATACTCCACTACCATCACCACCACCACCACCACCACCACCAATGAAAACAAATTAATTATATCATCAAGCTGTACCAAAAAGTCCTGTAGGAACTCCTACTAAATATCGGGGCTCTCTCTCTCTCTTTTCTCTCTCTGTACCAGTACTGGGCTTGAATTCAGGGCACCACACTCACCCTTGGCTGTTTGGCTTAAGGCCAGTGCTCTACCACTTGAGTCACAGCTTATTTCTGGCTTTCTGCTGATTACTTGGAGATGAGAGTCTCAGAGACTTTCCTGCCCAGGATGGCTTTGAAGGCCGATCCTCAGAACTCAGCCTTCTGCATAGTTAGCATGACAGGCCTAAGCCAGGTTACTGGCCAGAAGATGCCTCTTCAATGCAGAAGCACCAGTCTGCCATTCCTTTTATAGATCTGTGGCACACACAGCTGCAGGCAAATCCAGACACTGGGCTGGGTAGTGGGGTAGTCACCATTCCCACTGTTTGTAGGAAAGCAGCCCCACAGATGACGCTGCCTCCATCTGTGGGTGACCAGAGATTAGCCTGGGCTGGCCTTGATCTGTGATCCTCAGATCTCACCCTCCCAAGGAGCTGGGATGGTAGGCACGAGCCACGCCCGGCTCAGACCAAACCCCATCACTCACCTCTAGGGAGCTCATGGAGATGGTGGACCCTGTCTCACTCCGTGACAGCCCGGCGCCCTCATCTAGCTCTGCAGCCATGAAGTTCTTCACTGCTGTGCGGGGCTCGAAGGCCATGCTCTGCATGTGTTCCCGGGGTGCCAGGTGTGGGTCCAGGATGGGGGCATTCAGCTGGTCCAGGTTCCCGCCAAACTGCTCCATGACCGGGGGGGCCATGCTGAAGTCGGGGCTCACCTTGTAGTGCAGCAGCCGCTCATGCGGCAAGGTGTCCATGCCCAAGTTCATCTTGCTCTCATCCTTGGTGGGTGGCGGGGCGCTCACGGAGCCCCTGGGCATCACAATGTAGTCGCTGTCCAGCACGCGGTCCTGCGGGTGCCCCAGGTCCCGCTCGGCGCCCCGCAGGTCCTCATCCGTGCACAGGTACACCGTCCTGCGCAGCTCGCCGCCCTCGGGCAGGCATGGGGCACCCAGCTCGCCCCTGCCCATGGGTACGTGCAGCGGCGCGGGCTGCTGAAGGACCACCTTGGACAGGACGTTGCCCGGCAGTGTGGAGTAGCTCAGCCCCTCGGGCGCAGCGCCTTTGTCCTCCTCGTCATCGTTGAGAGAGATCCGGGACAGCGTGCCTGTGATGGTGGCGGTACGGCAGGGCCCCAGGTCCTTGTGGAGAACTGCAGGTGAGACAGACAGGGCACGGGACAGGGTCAGGACACAGGACAATGTGAGGGTGCCCCGGGCCAGGGGCGCGTGCCTCCTTCCTGAACGACCTCTTCAGAGAACAGAAATGTGAACTGCTCAAGGAATTTCCTCTTTACCTGTTTATTTACATCAGGTGCCTCACTCACCCCTTGGTTCTGTTGGGCCGCACAGCACCCTGGGGCTGATTAGTCATTGTCAGAAATCCTGGTCCTGTCCCCTACAGCTCCTCAGCCGTTCAGGGGCTGGGGTGCCGGAGACCTTCAGCCACCAATCTACTTCTAGCATTACAAATATCACCTAAATTTGCTCTTTTCCCCTCAAGGGCTTTTTCCTCTAAAGTGTTCCAGAAGTTCTCCTCATCAAAAATATGTCTGGAAAGAGGTAATCGATGCTAACGTCAGCATACTAAGTTAGAAATCCCCAAAATTACATATAGAAAATTAATGAGAAAGTTAATGAGCTTTTACCACTTAGCTTCTATGGTCCAGGCAGACAAAGGATTCAGAAGCATTTATCACACTCACTTAAATGTAAAGAAAGATTGTTCTTTTAAATGAGATCAATCCATGGTCTAGTACCCTCAAGGCATTGTCATCTGAGCTTAAATAGAAACAAAACAAAACAAACAAAGCAAAATAAAACAAAACACACAGGCTTTTGAAAAGCTCCTTCTATTTTTAAGCCTGATAAATGGGCATTAAGAAAAAACAGCATATGGGGCTGGGAAGGTGGCTCAGTGGTAGAGCGCTTGCCTTGCATGCCAGAGGCCCTGGGTTCGATTCCTCAGCACCACATTATCAAAAAGAAAAAAGCCAGAAGTGGCGCTGTGGCTCAAGTGGTAGAGTGCTAGCCTTGAGCTGAAGAGCTGAGGGACAGCGCCCAGGCCCAGAGTTCAGGCCCCATGACTGGATCCCCCACCCCCAAAAAAGCATATGATCACATAAAGATAAAAGGTAACTAAAAAAATATAAACAAACCAAACTAAAGCATACAAAACAACTGAAATGTTTATGATTCTTCATTAAAATACAAGTTAGGAACTGGCTCCTTCTTGCCCCCTTTCTGCCTCTTTATAAAAAGGCAGAGGGACAGAGGCAGAGGCATGCTTTCCTATGAACAAGCCAGTGTTCTGAGGGTACGCTATGAAATTCCACTGTAGAATATTTGGCTTATGAGAGCAGGAAGGATTTCAGATAGGCTGAATTTTGCCCATGGTACTACAGTCTTCACACGTAATCAGATAGTACAGACTAGTTCAGAGACTGACAGATACATCATGAACAGTTTCTCCTTTACTCTAAAAGACATTTAAAATTATTCTGCCACATGTACTGTCTGCGGTCTTTAACAATGTCTTGTTAAGTGGCAGTGTTACACTACAAAACCGTGTTGTCTATTTGTACATAGATGCATTTGTACAAGCACAGTGTTGCCAAGTTGTTTTGTATTTCAGTATGCATAAAAACTACAGAAAGATTAAACTTTACAGTTATTTCTAAGCCTGGTGTGGTAGTACAAGTCTGTAATTCCAGGATGGAGAGGCTGAGGCAGGAGGACCATGAATTCAAGGCCAGCCTGGGCTACATGGTAAGATTTTGTCTCCAAAACAAAGTTATCTCTAAAACTCTCTCAATCATACTAAATCATTAATTAATTGTGATTTCCAGAAATATTTATAATTGAAATTAAGAAGCAAAAAATATTAATTGATACTCTAAGTAAAAAAATATTTAAAACCCCATCTAAATTCAGAAATGGGTATTTTTAGTCCTTAACTTTATACAGAAATTAACCCAAAAATTATAGGAGTAAGATTTAAAGACTTAAAATTTAAAGAATAAAAATTTTAAATTATGAGAACCCACTTTATTGCATTAGGGAGGTATAATTTTATATTCTTATTAAAATATTAATAAGGGAAGTCTTTGAGCCAAATATTGACTTTAGAAATCTGAATTTATACACGATATACTAGTTTTGTATGAGTGCAAAATGATCTTACCTTGAACACATTAAACCAGCAATGTGGTGTGTCAACCGACAGTCCTTATATCTACCAAATATTGAACAAGCCTTATCACTCTCATAGGTTTGTTTAAAATGCATCCAAATTTTGAACATACCACACAAACACACCCATACCCCCTACTCAAGAAAACACAGTTGAAGTAGAATTTTTTTTTCTTTTGTTGGTGTGGGGCTTGAACTCTGGGCCTGGGCGTGGTCCCTCAGCTCTTCAGCTCAAGGCTAGAGCTCTACAGCTTGAGCCAGAGCACCACTTCCGGTTTTCTGGTGGTTTACTGGAGATAAGAGTTTCACTGACTTTCCTGTCCAGGCTGGCTTTGAACCGTGATCCTCAGATCTCAGCCTCCTGAGTAGCTAGGATTAAAGGCGTGAGCCACTGGCCCGGCTTGACGTAGAACTTTTAAGAGAAATTAATCAAGTTGTGAAGAGCAAAACACAACTAAACACTGGACGCAACCCAGGCATCTGAATATTTAGCACCGTGACTTGTATACTCCAGCATTTGCAGAAGCAAATTTCAACAAAATGATTGCTCAGCATCTATAAATTGAGACTTTCACTTTTAACATATTTCAACATGGATAGGTATCTCTTGAAAATCCCCCCAAAAAACAAGTAAAAAGCTGCTGCTGAGTTTAGCTACAAAGGGCATTGATCCAAAACTACGAGGGAAACTTTTCTATTAACGCAGCGGTAGTGGGCTCTGTGAGGAAGGCTGAAGCCAGAGCTCACTGCAGTTTGGGGAAAGGGAGAAGACGCGAGCATGGAGGGCGGAGATGGCCTCCTAGAGAAGACGTCCAACCTCACTGGGAATTAGAATGACCGGAACTACATGATAGAGTGGCTGCATCCCTGTCCCAGGCTGACCTAGCAAGCCTGGGATAGGACTTCAAATCCTGTATTTTTCACACATTCTGGGCGTCCGCACCCCAGATGATCTGGGGACCGCACAGGACAACCACTAGTTTGATGAGAATGGCTGTTAAGCAAACACTGAGCCCTCTGTGCTCTGCCGCTGCCCTGCCCAGGGGTCTGGGGAAGACTGAGGGTGGAAGGGGGGCCTGAGCCACACCTGGTCACTCCAAATAGCTCAAACCATTGCACCCCAATGATTCCAATCCTAAACTAAACCACACATGTGTGAACTGGCTCCAGATCTGATGAATTCTGAGAAAAAATTACAAGGAAGTGGAGCAAGGGAAAACATTGTGTTATCCTTTCAACAATGAAATGCAGAGAGGAGCAGCCAAGCCCTAGTGAGATGGGGCTGGCTATATTTCGTTGTATTTTTCAGTCAGAAAGGGGGAATTCCCGGTACCTGTCCTCAAATCGTAACTGTTTATGACTTTGTATAACGCACTCTAAGGAGTGTTTTGGTTGAATCCAGGAATAAGAACATAAGATGGGTCTCCCACAATCTGTGATGAGGGCAAACGTGACAAAAGATTCTTCAAACCGACGTAAAGCCAAGTGCGTAACGACCAATGAGACAAACATAAAAGAAAACATGCACAAAGCCTCACTTTTAGATGATTTTAGATTGGGGACCTACAGACAACTCCTCATAGGCATGGATAGTGAGTTAACAGACACGGGCTGGGAACCCTGAGCCGGTGGTGGTGGCTGCTGGTAATGAGGTGCACATGCGGGCAGCGTAGTTTTAACTCTTGGCCAGCTGGAGTGGCTGTGGGCACACTGCCTGTAAGGAAGTGGGGGGAGGGGGACAAAGAACCTGGACTTGTTCTGTATGGGGAAGGCGACCACTGGTTTGTGGGTATGAAGGCCCACAAGGAGGCGGCGGCTGTGGGACTGCTGCAAGAGGGATCTCAGCAGCTGGAGGTCCACCGTGAGGTCAGGTGTCTCAACACGATAAGCTGGGGTATGCTGCATGGTTTCTCCCGTCTCTTCCTCTGCTACACACACATACATGCAGACATGCAAACACACAGAAGCACATACATGCATGCACACCCAGCCCTCTCCACCACGAGTCCTCCCCACACAGAATGGAACTGTGGTCAGAGGGGCTGAGCGGCCTGGGCTTGGACCCAGCAACCACTGCACGGCAGTCAGAACCCGAGTGTGCAGGCCCGTGTGTCCGTCCTCATGACCCCTTCCTCCTCCTTCCTGCCTCCTCCTCTGTAAGCATTCCCATGACCACAGCACTCCCGTTGAAGGGCTACATGTATTCACACAGGAGAATGTGTGATGCATAAACCATGGTATTTTCTTCAAAACTCAAACCCACTGAAATGATTTCACATGCGTAACAATTATGTTTTCAAGTTGTAAATGTTCTTACCTGACCGACAAGCGATGTCAACGTCCTTTTCAAAGTCTGTCTGTAACAAAAACAATGACAAAGCATGGAATCATCATTTAATGAAGATGTGAGATGCCTTTGACTAATTAAACAACCTGGTGTCCAAATATCTGACTAGCTGGACTGGTTTACCATTTTGTACTAAGAAGGTCTTTCAAGGAACAATCAGGTTTATTCCCTGGAGACACAGCGTTGAACACAGTCCACGGAAACATGGCAAACAATTTTAATATGCCACAGCAACAGCTATCACTATCTAGAAAAGGATTGAGTTTTAAAAGAATTGCCTAAACCCAACAGGTGATTGGAATGAGTGTTATCTTTTTCTTTTTCTTTTTGAGCACTGGGTTTGGCTACGTCATTTCTAGTGGACTGTCTTGTAGCAGCACAGCTGTTAAACCCTTGTGACTTCCTAGCAGTTGCTTTCCCCTGGAATAAGACAAACATTTCAGACTTAGAAATGAAAGCAGAAGTCTTCCACGCATGTGGCTTTCCATGAGTATTTTAAATCAGAGATTTTTTTTTACAGTTATGTGTTTCAGTTTTGTATAGAATTGACTTTTCCCTCTCTTGACCCATCATTATTATGTCATTTTGATATTTTTATGCTTAGTAAACCAAAATATTACGAATCAGCCAAATATCCTATGAGGTTCTTTTCAGCCTTCAGGGCGTGGTATGGGGTGTGGGGGTATGGGGTGTGGGGGTCTCTCCGAGGTCAGAGCGCACAGTGACCTTCATTGCTTTCCTCTATGCTCTCCCCCCCTCCCGCCCAGAGCCAAGCTCAGTGGGAGTCACTGCTCCTGCTCCACTTGCCCACAAGTAGTCTGAACACACCTGCTCTCCTCCGCTTCATTTAAACTGTGTCTCACCCAGAATTCCCCGTGTGCCTCCACGTTACATCCCCCCCCCCTCCCCCGCGTTGCTGAGGGCTGCACAGCAAGTACCCGGCTCTCACACAGAGGAGCCCTTGTGTCTTGTTTATGCTTAAAGAGACTATCTAACAGGTCCAGAGTGCGACTCCTCTCATAGTCCACGTGCAGCCAAGCTGAGGGCCGCTGCGTGGAGGCGGTGCGAGTGCGAACGGCCGTCCCTGGTTCTGGGCCAGGGTGAAGAGCTTCCCGTGGGAGGTACTGACACCCAACCCGGAATCCGCACAGGACACTTTGCTGGTGCCCAGGATTGAGTCTAGTCAGGGACTGAAGCTGAAGCCACTCATCGCACAATTGTATTTTATCTTGAGTCTTTTCATTTTTATTACCATGAAGTGTCTGTCCAAAGGGGTTTCAATTCTGCATGTTAACTGATTGATGACTACAATGTGGCTACAATGTCGCCCCTCCCATCCATCTTCCCCCTCCCTCCATCTCCCCCCATCCAGTGTGAGACTTTAATGCTGTTTCTAACAAAAGGATTTAAAAAAATTCTGTGGAGAAATTCTATGGAGAAATAAACAATCTGAGGGAAAATAAAAGCTCACCATGATTTGAGCGTGCCCATTAGGGAAAGAACTCGAAGAATCCGCGTTGATTGGATCCTGGCAGTTTCTCAACCGGCATCTGAAAGCATCCTGGACCTGTAGGGAGGGAAGGGAACTGTGAATTTTCCTTCTTGATAATGACGACCTTGGTGGCACTAGCCTGGCTGTGAGCGAGTGGCCACCTTTTGTTCTAAGAAGCCAATTCTCACCACGACCCCAGTGTGCCTGGATGTTGTGCAGGGAAACTCATCAGAAGGCTCAGGACTCCTGACAATTTCTACTCAGACCTGTGCTCACTTTCTCAAGCACGATGCATCTTTCCAGGAGGGTTTAATATTTGGGACAGCTTTAAGCATCGTGAAGAATGAGATTACTTAACTAGTTGACTAGAACTGACTCTTTCCTTTTGTCTCTTATAAAAGACCTTTGGTGAGTCTATTTCCCATCCCCCTTTAAGTGCCCTGATCTGAAACCAGGACACCATAAACTTCTCTACTTGTGGTTGATTATCTTGGGAGAAAAAAAAAAGCCACTTAAAGCAGTCAAACGTCCATTAATAAACAGAATCTTAAGTTCTGAGAACATTGTTAATTCCTTCATTTCAAAAAAGCTCAGGAAATATGAATTACTAGAGAGCAAATAGCACTGATGATTAAGATGGGAAAGGAGGCCAGAGCCATGGCATCTGTATGTTTGTCCATCTGTGTCCCTGTGGCTCATCTGCTGTATGTCCACCTGTCTGTGCTGTTCATCTGCTGCACATCCACCTGTCCCTGCAGCTCATGTGACTCCTCAGCTGGTATATATCCTCACCTTTGCAAGCTCTGCTCAGCAAAATCAATATCCACCTCATTTTACTTCCTGTCACGCTGCTTTTCTGATTTCATGAGTCCACTCTGCCTTCTTCATCTACTGCAATTTATCTGACTGGATTGAAGTTAAGTACAGCTGACACTGTATTTCCCCTACTTGCTGGAGCAACTTGCGGGCACCAGGGATTTTTACTTTGGGGCAGTGCAGGAATGGGACCTGTTGTTAGCATTTGCTCGTGGGAGGTGCATAACATGCGTGTTTGCATCTCATTTCAGAGACAGCAGCAGATTTGTGAAGAACAATTGACACGCAAGGTGCTTCATGTCATGCATGCAGGCCAGCCATTCTGTGACGTGCCACGCATCAGCACCCTCCACTCCAGCCTGGCGGCTCGGCTGTCACAGCTGTGGAACTGGGACTGGGACGAGTGTGTGTGTGTGTGTGTGTGTGTGTGCGTGTACATGTGCATGCATGTACCCATGTGCCTCCGCCTGTTCTAGTGCTTGAACTCAGGGCCTGGCTCTCTTGCTTGGCTTTTTGTCTCAAGGCTGGTGCTGTGCTACCTGAGCCACACCTCCATACGTGGGATTTGCTAGTTAGTGGGGGTAAGGGTCTCTTTTCTGCCCAAGCTGACGCCAGCCCTGAAGTCTCAGATCTTAGCCTCCAGGGTAACTAGGAGTACAGGCATGAGCCACCAGTGCCTGGCTAGTCTAGCATTTCTCAATTTTGGATTTCCTCCAAGAAGGAGGAGTAGGAGTTGCCTGCTAGAACCCGGCAAGACCGTTTCTCATTTCCTTCAAGTGCATCAGTAGACTGCATAGTGGCCAGGCAGGCATCTGTCCATGTTTCCTGAGAAGCAGGATGTGTTGGGGAAGACTGAGGAGCAGGGTTCTTTCAATCTGAACCTTCCTCAATTAAGGGGTCACTGCCCAGAAAGGGACACATTAATAACAGAAAATTTATGATGAGTCTTCTATGTATCAGAGTGCCACTTCTTCTGTGATGCAGAAATTGGAACCGGAGAAATCACTAAGAAATGACACTTTTAGAAGGAAAAACACACTAAGAGCCAATGTCAGAAAAACAGGTGAATGTTAATTTTCTGCTTGTATCCTAAGGCAATTGTTAAAGAAACATAATTTACAAAAGAGAAAATTATAATAGAAACATTGACTTAGAGAGCTTGTCACATGAGGATTTCTAATTGATTTTCAAATATCAGCATTTATATAAAATAAGAAACATTGTGAAAATATTAAATATAAATTTAACTGCCCCTCACTAACCATATTCCATTTCCACACCTTCAGAGCCAACTTGTAGAAGGGTATTTTAACTAAAAATGAAATAGAGAAGCAATTTGTACCTAAGTTTCTCTTTAAAAATCACTATCTAGTGGCTTGAAAGAAACATATAGGAAATCTCTTTTAGAAAACACATACAATACATGGTACATATATCTATACACACAAACACACATGCACATCTACACTCATCACACATACACAAGCACACGTGCCTGCACACCCAAGCACATGCATATACACACATTTAATATGTTCAACTACTAAACTCCCAAATATAATGATGGGTTAAGGCCTTTCTACTCTGGAGAGTGTTGTCAGCTCTATGAGTCAGAGCTGCCAGAAGAAATATAAAGCAGAAAGCATCAACATCCCCCAGTGAAGTCGGGTCAGTCTAAGGATATTACAAATGCCACAAATGAAGTCTTAGGTTCTGTAACACTTTTAGTGCCATTGATAACTCTCGGTCAGAAAGATTCGTGGGAGGGATTTTATTACAAATACTACTTTTACATTTAAATATGTATTAAAGATGCAGAGGTTACCTAGATGAACTGGCCTTAACTATGCACTCAACCCCCATGAGGGGAAACATGCAGACTAGAGTTCACACACGCAGGCCTACATCCACAAAAAGGCAAGGCCACACCTGGAAAAAGTCTCTTTACTTGGAAGTACCTTGATAATTGAGTTTGCCTTTCTTTTCTACTAATAATGTCCACTATCTCTTAAGTAGTTGTACAACTACAATTGAACATGAGAATTTATGAGTTCGATGCATGTTGAGCGATGCCTTGCCTTCTATTGATTTATTGAATCATGAATTGTCTAGCAAGTAAAAATGGTTTATACAGTACTGGGTAGTAACAGTATTTGATTTTATGGAGACTGTAGTAGGTATAAGCATTGTAACTGAATCTCTGTGAAATTAATGTTTTAAAGAACTCATTTAAGACTGTAAATACAATTTTTAAATAAGCTAGGTAAGAGCAATTAATTGTTAGTGTTATTTATGGCACAGAAAATGTCTAAGTTTCTGAGAGAGGTATCAGGAAACTGATATAGAACTATCTGCCTTGAGTATCTAAGGAAATTGGATGCAGGTTGTGAAAGAAAATAGTGAAAGGAAGTGGTGTTGTGGCTCAACGGTAGAGTGCTCCCCTTGAGCTGAAGAGCGCAAGGACAGTGCCCAAGCCCAGAGTTCAAGCCCCATGACTGACCAAAAAAAAAAGTGAAAACAGACACTTTCAGAATGAATCATGGTGACAACAAGAAGTTATGCGGGTTTCTCTTGAAAAATCACTCGCCATGTACTACCAAAGTTGTTCTGGCTGCCTTGGGGTGGGGGCTGCTCAAAATCTCCTGAAAAGCCATAAATCGTGCCTCAGATGGGTAAATGGAGGTGTGGGTGCAGGTATGGCTGAATGGAGGCGTGGGTGGAGGTGTGGGTATGGATGGATGGAGGTGTGGATGGATAGAGGTGTGGGTGTGGATGGATGGAAGTGTGAGTGTTGATGGAGGTGTGGATGGATGGAGGTGTAGGTGTGGATGGAGGTGTGGGTATGGATGGATAGAGATGTGGGTATGGATGGAGGTGTGGGTGTGGATGGATGGAGGTGTGGATGGATGGAGGTGTGGATGGATGGAGGTGTGGATGGATAGAAGTGTGGATACATGGAGGTGTGGGTGTGGATGGAGGTGTGGATGTGGATGGATGGAGGTGTGGATACATGGAGGTGTGGGTGTGGATGGATGGAGGTGTGGATGGATGGAGGTGTGGATGAATGGAGGTGTGGATGGATGGAGGTGTGGATGGATGGAGGTGTGGATGGATAGAAGTGTGGATACATGGAGGTGTGGGTGTGGATGGAGGTGTGGATGTGGATGGATGGAGGTGTGGATACATGGAGGTGTGGGTGTGGATGGATGGAGGTGTGGATGGATGGAGGTGTGGATGGATAGAAGTGTGGATACATGGAGGTGTGGGTGTGGATGGAGGTGTGAGTGTGGATGGATGGAGGTGTGGATGGATGGAGGTGTGGGTGTGGATGGATGGAGGTATGGGTATGGATGGAGGTGTGGATGGATGGAGGTGTGGATGGATGGAAGTGTGGATACATGGAAGTGTGAGTGTGGATGGAGGTGTGGGTGTGGATGGATGGAGGTGTGGATGGATGGAGGTGTGGGTGTGGTTGGAGGTGTGAGTATGGATGGATGGAGGTGTGGATGGATGGAGGTGTGGATGGATGGAGGTGTGGGTGTGGATGGAGGTGTGGGTGTGGATGGATGGAGGTGTGGATGGATGGAGGTGTGGGTGTGGATGGAGGTGTGGATGGATGGAGGTGTGGGTGTGGTTGGAGGTGTGAGTATGGATGGATGGAGGTGTGGATGGATGGAGGTGTGGATGGATGGAGGTGTGGGTGTGGTTGGAGGTGTGAGTATGGATGGATGGAGGTGTGGATGGATGGAGGTGTGGATGGATGGAGGTGTGGGTGTGGATGGATGGAGGTATGGGTATGGATGGAGGTGTGGATGGATGGAGGTGTGGATGGAAGTGTGGATACATGGAAGTGTGGGTGTGGATGGAGGTGTGGGTGTGGATGGAGGTGTGGGTGTGGATGGAGGTGTGGGTGTGGATGGATGGAGGTGTGGATGGATGGAGGTGTGGGTGTGGTTGGAGGTGTGAGTATGGATGGATGGAGGTGTGGATGGATGCAGGCGTGGGTGCAGGTGCAGATGGAGGTGTGTGAGCCTCTGGGGTGGTTCTGCTCTCAGGCCTGGGTGGGTGTGCGTGTGTGCATGTGCACAAGCCTCTGGGGTGGGTTACTCCGGAGCACTGGCTCAGCTCTGCTGAACTACTGGAGAATGAAGTGCAAGTCAACCAAAAGCCCCGGATCCCCTGACATAACTGCAATGTGACTTGAGTTTCTCTGCTGGTGCCCGCGCACTGCGCATGTGCTCACGGCCTGGAGTGCCTTT